TGGATAAACATATCCTTAATTTGTTTTATATGTTATCTATGTTGAGTTGAATGAATGAAGCATGTGTCAATAGTTTGAATTGCGGAAGCTACTTTGAGAAACATTTGATTCTTTTAGTGTTGAATGAGACAAAACAAAACATAGGGAGAGTACAAGGGAAGGGGAGCTTATGCATAGAAACTAGAAAGGCATAGCTTAGAGCAACATTGTGGTCGTGTTGCGTATGGATTGACATTTATTTTATTTCAGTAATCTTGCACATGTTATTTATAAACTCAATTACAGAGATCCCACGTATTATTGCACTAAACTTTAACACATTTTGTGTCGAGTATCATAGAGTCTCAGGATTGATATAATATCGATCTTGAGTGTCAAGTGCGACTTAATATGTGTATTTGATTATCAATATTACAACTATTAATAAGACATGTTATCAAGGATAACTCGACCAAACTTACATCCTTATCATAATTATTATGAAGAGTAATATTCCATCATTATAAAATAATAAAAACTGTTAAATATTTAATAATTAGACCTTGTAATATTTTTTTACCTATAAACATTATTGACTTTTATAAAATGCGTAATCATATACTATACATTATATATCTATTAACTTAATTACTTAAACATCAAAGTCTTTTATATAGGTACAAATCACTTGACTTCGAAAGTCAAAGATTTGAGAATTTTCTATTAAAGATTTCTTGTACTCATTTCTTAGTAAGAACGGTCATTAAATTTAATTTAATTTTCCAAAATAAAATGTGTTGCCTCCTAAAAATTAGTAAATTAATTTTAATTTTTTTAGTAATCAATAATTTATGATTCTCTTATTTACTAAATTATGAAAGTATAAATTTCATATATAATTATTAAGCACATTTTTATTGTCATTCTATTATTTTAAAGGTTTTTTACACATAGTAAAGATCAAACATGAGATTTATTTGTTAAATAAATTATCCTCACAACATGTAATATATGATGCTTAACCCCTACACCAACACATTGGATTGCACATTTTTCTATTATAGTAGATAATTTGTAAATGTTATATTGATAAAGTTAAAAATAATTTAAGAAAAATTCGTAAAAGTTAATTAAGTTATAAATGAATTAAATAAGACAAGTTCAAGCTCAATTTTTATTAACAAGTTTAAACTTTTAATTAGACTCGATTATATAAATAATTTAAGCTTGAACAATCAATTTTTTTTTCATAAGACAATCTCAAACTAAAAAGTTCAACTCATTTACAATTTTAGAAGGTGATGTCACAATAACTATTATCGTCATATGGTGATAACTAAGTTGATGATAATAACGGTAACAATAATAGTAATAATGATATTAATTAAAGGTGATGATAATAATTATAAAAACAACGATAATATTAATGCTTATAATTAAGTATGTATAATTAAGTTTTAATTTTAATCTAATTAATATTTTTAATTTATAATTTAAAGTTTATTATTTAGTTATCTTATATCTTGTATTAAAATATTTTCTCATGAGATACATTCCTTATTATTTTATGAATTTATTTTCTATACAATAATCATTTAAACAATAGATATATTTAAATCAAATCCAAATTAAGAATTATTCTCATTATATATCACAAAATTCTGGAACTCAGTGATCCAGCCAGATTCTAATCGATGCCAACCAAAATCCCACATCTGTTTTCAATTATTTCCTCTTTCAAGCACTATCCATTATTATATTGCCAGTTTCATCTTTGATGGCTTGTGTTTTACTTTCTAACTAAACATTTTTTTTTATCTCTAACTGCTCCCCATCTTGCTGTCAATGAATTATAAAATACACAGATATAAACAAATTTTGGTTTGAGTTTTGTGTTAAACTTTTGACTTTGCGGTTCCAAATATCGATAGTGCATGAATATACGTCTCGTACCGGGTAAGGAACACAACATGTTTTTTTCAGCTTCAAAGTGCTTGTCATTTTTATTTCTAGAAGCCGAGTAAGTAAAACACCTCTATTTTCCCCATATAAAGTCCGATTCTAAAAGTCAGTCTTAATATGTTTTAAATACTTTGAAACAACTACATTTAGAAACAAGGTTATATAGTTGACAATTAATATTCCAACACCACATGTCGAGAGAGCTATAGCTGGAATTAGAACGCTGTTTAACTTCAATATATATACCTGAAGACCGAACTATATACAGATGTTAAAGAATTAATAATAAAAAGACAGAAATTAAAAAGCTTCTTTCTTAATGTTTATATTTGCCTATATGATTGATTAGAGGGTTCGCGTGCTTAAAAATTAAAAATGTTCGTCGGCTAATTGGTTCTGTATAACATCTCTGTACAAGAAATAGCCCTTATAGTAATGTGTAATTAGTTCAGAAAAGGAAGACGTAGAATTATTCACTTTTTTTTTTCCTAAGAGAATGGAAAGAGGAAGCTCCATTTGGTTTTTAAGGAGAGGGTATGAAAAATATGAATGATTATAGTATTATATCTTTAGTTCTTTACAAAGAATGTAAGATGGTGTCAAGTAAGATGCTAGGGCGGCAACTTAACTATATAGTCTAAAAATTATATATATATATTTTTTATAATTAAGAGGTATAACTCATTTATTAAAAAAAATAAGAAGTTATACAATGACATATTTTATATAATGACACAATACTTATTACTAAAATTACTTTTATCTATATCATGAATACAAAATATATGTTGATATATTGTTAAAAGTGTAAATATAAATTATAATAACACAATATACATTATTGAATTTATCAACATTAAAATTATGTATAATTATATGATAAATAAATATATATAATATTTATATTAACATTTTCTACATATCATTATATATAACATTTCTTATAATAATTTCTCTTATATAGAGTCATTATTATAGGAGTAAAAGTAATCTACCTTTGTTTATAATTTTATACTTAAGTTGAGAATCATTGATTAAAGAATATAATTATCAAATCACTTATACCATTCACTTTTAGTTAAAAATTATATTATATAAACAGCTTACTTTCCTAGCCAAGTCTGAAGAGATGGACAATATATATATATATATATATATATATACCGGTA